TGGTCATAGAGTGCATTTTTGGTATATCTCTCACTCCCTCCAAATTTCAGGATCCTTACCCAACGATTACGTAAGATACAATGGTGTTTCCATTAGAAGTGGGTCACACTGTATATAAAACAATTTGAAGCGCTGTATGAATAATTTAGTGGAATATTTGTTTATAACTTTTCAGTATTGAATAACTTTTTCATCAATATTTGAAATTGAGTGATCAAAAATAATCGAATAATTTTCTTTATATCTCTTAGAGTACACGAAAGGAAATTCCTATAATGTTCGTGCATTATCGTGGGATTTTGCGAAAAACACAGAGTTATTGTAATTCGGGGTGAATTCGAATGCTTTTTTGAGGTTCTTCTGGCTATAACTATCGTGTGGGACCTCGAAAAAATAATTTGAAATCTTCAATGATTCCTATAACCATAAGAAAAAGTGCGTTCCTAATATATTGTATACATATAAAATATGTTGATTTTTTTTATCTCTGAAAGTTTGTTCAAATTCTATCCTATGTGTATAAATCAATCTACTTAATGATCCCTATCAAGTGACTGTCTAATTTCATGAATGAATCCACTCGAATGATTTCTCAGGGCACAAAAAAAACTGAAGGAGAATAATTGAATATTTCGCTGTAGAAGAAGAAAATCGAGAAGGAAAACCCCTTTATTTACGTTATTTTTTATGGAGAAAAAAGAAACGATGTGCGAAAGTTGAAAGCAGCAATGAGGCCTTTCCACATCAGCCCTTATCAGAAGTTTTACAGGGTGATCCCTAAAAGCGTGCCAAACCACGAAGAGATTTTTTTTATGGAATACCCTATTTTTTATAATTATTATCTCCACTTTTTTGACCCCAGAAAAAAAAATTTTCTACTTACATAAATAAATGGTATTTTTGACCCCAGAAAAACATGTTTCTACTTATTATACCTTTGACACGGCTCGTGCGATTTCACTCACATATTATGATGATACGTTGGCATAGCTTTATTTGGCAAAAAAACCAATGATGAATATCATTCCATGGGTATGAACCACTATGAACATGGTATTTTCAGTGATGAACATATGAAATATCTACGCCAATGGAAAGAAAGGAAAACTGTGATTTGAATATGGAATTTGAAATACGTAAATCAGTAACTATACAAATAAGACACTCTTGAAAAATGCGATTACTCCCATGGGTTCCTCAAAATAATTTAGAGCAATAATGAACGTCCACAACGATTAACAAATATTTCATATGACAACAAAAGAGGGGCAATGTAAAATATAATATTGCTATCATTTTTCATTGCCTATCCATTTTTTTCATGGAATGAATACAGACGATTCGACTTCAATTGGAACAATAACAAAAATTATACATGAACAATGAAGTAAAGAATTAAATGTATAATAAATATATTGCCGGTATGGTGTATATACAACAATTCTGGTAGCTGGTATCAATGTTTTTGTGAGCAATAAGAATTTCTTGAAAAATTCAACGAACGAAGTATTCATAATAATATATTGAAGAAGTTATAGGAAGTGAAGGATTCTCAAGGGGGGGCACGATCCCTCCTGGCCCCTCTCTGTGGGCCCCCATGAAACAATATGGTCAAAAATCAGCGACGACATTCAAGAAATATAGACTATCAAGTTCAGATTTCTCAAGTGAAGTCGACTTTTCTCTTCGTCTATCCGCATATTTTTATTACGTTACTGGGGGTGAAATGAACATTTCAAAAAAGTTCCGTTAGTTTTGAAAAGTGTCAAATTATTACATGTTGAAAATTAGAAATAAAAAAAAATCAGTTCTTGACCACCAAAGTATAGCATTTGGCGCACTAGATACAAAAATAACTATTTAAAAAAAAAACTAGACCCATTTCGTAATGCTGTACCCAAATTTATTATGGATCAAATTTACTGATCCTATTTGAAATAAAAAAAAAAGATATTGCACTGCCCGGGAATCGAACCCGGGTCGCAAGAATGGGAATCTTGCATGATACCACTACACCAGCAGTGCTTGATATATATTTTACTGTCGCAACCTTTCATATTGGGAATATATCTTAATAAATGAGAAAACTATTCGTTACATGTTATTGTAATAGATGTCGCTGTACATATAATATAATTTCATTAAACACTATCAAAAATGAACGTACTCATACCATTTTTATATTTTTTTGTCGTGTCGGATGACTATTTAAAATATGACGATATCAGCGCCTCTTACGGATTTTCTATGAACAAGAACCTTATATACTGCCACTGTCATTGTCACCAGTGACAAATATATTTGTTGGATGAATGTCAATGTCAATTGGCAAGGTGATCGACCGTTGGGGGCGCTGTTTCAAAACAAGATGGCGGCAAAGAGTGTGTAGTTTGTTTACAAAATTTCTTGAGATTTGCATACATTTTCTTCTTGATATTTCATCGTGTTATTTGTGTTAATTGTTGAACTTTCAACTGAAATTATAATTATATTTGTTGGATCTTACTGTTTCATCGTTATGTGAGGAAAATTACTGTTACCTACTGACTGAATCGTGGACCAAATTTCTTCAAATCAGTGCATTTCTGTGGGACAGCTTTATGGGATATCAAAAATTACAAGCATATCCACTATCATCAGAAGCTGATATATTCACCATCATACTTCTATAACTCCACTCTTCAAGCAAAAGGATCCTACAGACCACAAATGGTGATACCAGGAGTGAAGTTTTTCAACAGTGAACAGCCTTCTGTGAAAATATTGAAAACCATCCCTGAACAATGTGTTAACCTATTCGACTATTTTGTGTTAAATATTATAGCCATCAGAATCATGTGCAATTGATCCATACAATAGAAATCAGCAGCAACCAGCTCTAATGAGTCTAAACCAAGAAATAATTCAACACCAAAGGCATCCTGACAATACTGTGGATTTAATAGTAGATACAACAATATTACTTCCAGGCTTTGAGGAAAACATTGATCAAATGACCTAGGATTTCAGTATATTATCATAAATTTTGTGATTTGATATCATTTTGTAATCCTAAATTCATCTAATTGAAAATATCTATCTTATCAATCTGTATAGTTCATTATGTTTTTTATATTTTGGAACTGAATTAATAATAATGTTCGAAAATGAAAGTACATTGACATAACATGTGTTTAACTGTACTTATGCCACTCCAAAGAAGTCCAGAAAGAAGTACCTACAAATAGAAGGACAGTCCAGTATACTCCTTCCCACCTTCCCTCAGTGCTCATGTTTACTGTTTTCCCCTGAATTATTTTACAAGATACCTTCATAAAGATTTACAATTATGAATGAATTTGAAATCCAGGACTTTTATGCATGTAAAAATAAATTAACAATGAGCAAAAGTAAGTATCTTTCTGGTAGGTACCTATTTCAAAAGGAATCAGTAAAGATTATAAAGTGAAACTTTGAAATTGCATAAAAAAAGAATGAGGTGTTGATTGAGGTAGTTGTGGAACTGAAATATGAATTTTGAAAACCTACAATAAAACATTACAAAACATAAAAAAAAGTAGAACGTTTACTTATGAATAAATACAGTTTAATAATAACATACAAGCAGTAAAATTATGAATACATTTTTCCAAGATACAATTTGAAATGTCATGGATATGTTCAAGTACCCAAATAATCAGTTATATCTCCTTAAAAACTTGAATTCAACTTCAAGGAATCTGGGTTTTGGTTTCAATTTGTGTAACTATTTGCACTCAATTGCAAGATACCCTGGATGGCAGCTCCTCCCCTGCTGAAAAATTGAAGAAATGTTAGTACCTACCTACTATAAACAAACCATATCTATTAGCTATTACACAATCTAAATAATCAAATAGAAATAGATTGTGTCACTTCAATGTATGTTCAAAGATTCGATTCAAGCTATGAAGTAAGCTACCTACAATGACCTGCTTGTACCAGGGTTATTATATATCTATAAAATATGCTACTGTTTTTGCTCATATGAATGTAATTGGGAGCTGTATTTTAACTTAATCATTTTGGAAGTACATGCAATCTGCATTAGCTATTTTACTACAAAGATGATACTACAAAATAGGAATCTACGAAGTCCTAGACAGGATGTCATGAACAAGATTTTTATATGAGTCAAGCATTACAAATAAAACTATAAATTACCCACCCCACCTGCACATGTTCATAATGTCTTTTTTCTTGCCCAGCTTTGTGTATTGCAGTTCAAAAGTCAAAGGCATTGAATTTGCTTCATTTTTCTTATAAAAATATAAAAATATTTGAAATACAAACAACCATACTTATTTCTCCAAGTCCTAGTTTCTGGAGACATTTCCCCATAAACAAAATAGGTATGAACTGTTGATTATTTCAATCATGTTCTCTCTCAGATAGGCACTGCAAATGAGAGTTATTCATCAGTGATAAATATATCAATGAATCACAAATTTACCTTATTGTTATCATTATTGGACCAATGAAGTGAAGAAAGGTAGGAAGTTTCTGTTGGAGCTGCATACATCCAGTTTTCAAACTCATATTGGATTCTCAACGTTTATCCATTTTTTCCATTCAACTCAATTCAACTGAACTGATTTTCCATCATCAGAAAAGATTTCTTGAGTGCAGGAAATTCATATTAGAGGACATTATAGGTCCTACATTTTTCCATTGGAACCTTCTACTAGTTCAAAGAGCAACCAAACACAGTAGATTTAGCGTATTATCAGAGATTTGTTGATACTCATTTATAAAATAATATAGAATTGATTTGGCAATTGATATAAAGTTCATGTCTTGTACTCAAGAGAAGGAAGAAGAAAAAATTAACGTAATTTGTTGAATGGTATTCATAAAATATGAAACCTACTGAACACAATAACAAACATGACCTTGAATTACGTCCTAAACTGGTTCAAATTTGCCCACCAGGTGCCGTATCGGAATCGTCACCTTGCCAATTCCACTACTGACTTTTAACTACTCTACTGACACTTGTCAAATGTCAGTGTGTTTATGTTTGTATATTTATTATTGTTGTTTTGTTGATTGCTGGTGCTATTATTTTAATCATATTGAAATAAAATAATAACAAAATGTGATTTGTTTCTTCAATTCATATTGAAAGTATTGGCCAATTTACAATGGCCTCATTATGGATTGGTTCTGAAGTGGATCTGTCGATTTTAAGGCAATGCAGAATGGATGATAGATTAGAATTTAGACTGACCTGTTTACATAATAATAAAAAGACCTCATTTCATGATAATGATAACATTGCTAACAGAAAGCATGGAGAATTCGAAGAAAGTAAATCTTTTACCCAGTTTGATGAACAAAGAAGAACAAGGAGGTCAGGAACTTGGCCGTAAGTGTCAAATGTTTTGCTGTTTTGTCAAAATTGTATGTTGTGGTTGTTCTCGAGGTTCTTGCTTGGTGTCGAAATATTGAGTGGATTCTAGTGATATATTACATACTCTACAAATGAATTGATTTGATGAAAACTACGAAAATGTACAAGAGATGGTAAGTGAGTTGAGACTGTGCTTGAAAGACCTTCCAGTTGAGACTGTGTGTGAAAGATCTTCCTTTTTCAATGCTGCCACTGAAATAATACAGTCTTGAATATAGTAATAGGGTTAATTTTATAATTCATCACTTATCATGTGATCCTCACTTAGGTACTATAATTTTTTATTGTGGTAGGTACATGAATTTTATATTGAAAATTCCGGAAAATTCTAACAAAAAGCAGTTTTTCAAGGGTAGAAACAACCCTTTTTTTTCCAGGACATTATCCACATGGTTTAGTTACATAGGGGGAAACACAAGGCGTAAATCACGGCCCAAAAACTTTACACTAAACTTGCCATGGGTTGAAACTTCCAAAACTTCCTGGAACTTCCCAAGCTTCCTCAAACTTCCTCAGACTTCCTGGAACTTCTTCTGACACTAAACTTGCCATGGGTTGAAACTTCCAAAACTTCCTGGAACTTCCCAAGCTTCCTCAAACTTCCTCAGACTTCCTGGAACTTCTTCTGACTTCCCCAAACTTCCTATTCAATGAAGTGAATATTTATTGAGATTAATAAGTTCAGAAACCTGTTGTTTATACCCAGGTATGCCTAGGCTGCAAAATACCTTTTTGGTGTGCCAAAAGAAAAGTTATAGCCAAGGCCATCACTGGCTGACTTGGTTTATCACTAGGTTTATTATCATGAGTTAATGTGGTTCATACTTGACTTTACTCATTGCTTTCAATGGAGAACTAATAGTAGCACAATTATGGAAATTTGAAGGGATATAGTGAAGAAAATAATGCAGAATCCAACTAAAATATTTTGGTTGATATGAAGAATCTGGTGTTTTCAGAAGTGACCCCATCATTGTTATTTCCCATGGGACATCCTGTATTTCATAAAATTTTTGAATTCCAATTAGAATTTCTATTCAAATTATCACATTATAACTCATACCTAATTTTAACCAGTTGTGAGTAGGTAATTAGAGTTTTTCTAGAATAAGTGACAAATAATGCAACCTATCCAACATAAGTACACCATGTTTATATCAATTTCAAATTTTAGTGATATGCAGTGAAAAAATCGTGAATTACTGAAGGTTCAACAGATTACTCATCATAATCACAACCACTGAATAATGGGCTTACATCACAAAAAAAAATGTATTTCATAATTCAATAGAACTCACCCCAACTAGCTCACCACCGCAAACCGTTTCTTTAGTTTCTTGCTGTGAGCTCCCTACGTTTTATAAAAAATTATTGAAATCCCCGATTTTTCGGACTTCTGAAAAGGAGGCGATGATGTGACGTCAAAACCCTAATACTGAAACAAGACTATTCCAGACAGAGATGAATGATACATGATTTCTGACAGAGTGAATCAGCGCGAGATCACAGTCGGAAGAATTAATATATCAGTTGCCTCAGTCTCCGTCGGGCGTTTGGTATTTTCTTTTAACTATGGCGAGATGAGGTTTCTATGTCATAAGAGGGTCCGTTCTCAGAAGGTACTATTATTTATGTCCAAAAATAAAACATTCCAGTTGATTTTTGGATCGAATTATGTCTTCAATCATTATTTATGTATAAAAGGATCATTATAAACATGGTTTGAGTTAAAATTTCTACTAAGGTGTACACAGGGTGGGCAGAAAAGTCCAAAGAGTGAATTGTGACACATTCAAAATCTCATTTTTTTCAAATGGAAACCCAATTTTTCCTTCTCATAATTCAATCTTGTTATAAAAATGAGCCCTAGTTCTAATTAACTTCCCTATACCCAAAACCTAAAATTCAGAAGATATTCCATAAATAGTACTTAATTCTGCAATAACAGCCTGTAATTTTGGATTTTTCTGATAGGCTGTGCTGTCAACAAGTGAATTGAAGTTGATCACTGCCAGATTCATCATTATGGCTTTTATTTTATTATATTCCAATTGAATTACTTATATTATAGTCTTTCAAAAGTCTTTGAACGGTCTCATATTTCAGAAATAGCTCTGAGAAAATTCATTACATTTATAACAGAATAGTTTTTGATGAGGTTTTTGAAGACGTCCAATTCAATGATGATATTGGCATTGTTGCCAAATCGACAGTTTTTCATATATTGAGAATTACTCAATGTTTTCAACTCTATTTATTCTCATTGCAATCAATTCAGCGCCCCATCCGAGGCCCCATCATTACTAATATCTCCAAATGTCTGTGAACCGCTGTGAACAGTAATAATAATAATCTATATTTACTTAAATGTGAAATCCTAATTTACAAATAAAAATAATAATAGTAATACATACAAGGTAGGAGTATGTACAGTTCCTCATAACTCACCCTGTATAGTGTATATATATTTGATGTTGTCAACCAAAATGAAACACCGTAAATATCTCTTGAAATAATAATTTCCAGGAGAAAAAAAAACCACGACAAATATTATATACAGGGGGACACATTCCGTTATAGCTGTCCTCTAGGTAATAATCAACCCCCAAACCCTAAACCCCCATATAACATGTCACTCGATTTTTCTAAATGGATTAACCAAAAAACACATAATTAATGTAATGTCCTCTCCCTAGCCTGAGAGTTAACTGAAGATTCGGTTGCTACAACGTGGAAATATTTTGTACCAAAATCATCCGTGAATTGTACCAGATTCAACAAAAATGTACCAAACCCAAAAGGTCAAAAAATTTCAATACCTATACCTCATCTCCCTATCCAAAGGATAAGAAAAACTGAAATTTCCGAATGGAGTGTGCTAAAAATACATATAAAGGATCAGCTGAACGCCATTAGGACATGTGTATAATACTCATCAGATAAGAAAATATACTAAATGAACATAGGTCCGTAAATGCTTCGTTATCGCTACACAGCATGTTGGAATTCCATAAAATAATCATTTTTCCAGATAATTAAGTCGATGAACCTTCCTGTAATTTCATTTAACCTCGATGGGGCTGTTTTGAGAATATCAGTGATATTTTTTGTGAGAAATTATAACACACCACTCTTTTTAATGTTGTATCAGGTGCTTTTCAGCGCACAGGTATGCACAATATACAATATGCACTGAGTGTGAATCACTTGCGTTCTGTGGTGTGAATATTTGTTCATTTCTAGAGGTATGATGTATTTCACCAAAAAAAACTCAATGAAAGAATATGCAATTTTAATTTATCAGTGTAGATAAATATCGAGCGAATGATTTTGTACCAAAAATTGCTTTATCTTGGGAATGTAGTACCAACGTACTTTTATTGACAAAATGTACCAAATCTGGTACAATTGTACCAAATCTGGTACAATTGTACCAAATCTGGTACAATTGTACCAACTGTGGCAACTCTGCTAACATACATAACATGAACACGCGAACGGTGACGTAATCGAGGTCTTCGCGCATGCGATATTCGTACTGTAATGCCACACAATACCTCAGAATCCCTCGCAATACCTCGTTATTCCTCGTAACACCTCACAATGCCTCACGAGATGCCTAACAATACCTCGCAATGCCTCGCAATTCCTCAGCAATTCCTCGTAATTCCACATGAGTGTACACTAAAATTCCTCAGCGAAATGCCTCTCGGTTTTTCTCGTGTTTTTTTGACTGAAAATACTATATAATATCGAAATTTCAGCCTGTAGAAAACTGTTGCGTTTTTTTGCCTCTCGCCTCTTCATCTATTAGTTACTGCGTGAAATAAAACATTCACTCAATGAGAACCCGTTTGTTCATTTATAAACTCGATTTTTCGACTATGGGCATTGACAAAAATTCTACAACTAGTAGCATCACATTTTTTCAACTCCAAAACTTTCAATTAGGCTGAAGATGGTCTTTTATAAGACCGAAACATGTCCTTCTGATTATGTATCAACACCATTGAAATTTGTGGAGATGACTTCGAGCATTCCTTCCTGCCTTTGTTTTCTGAAAACTGGGTTTTCATAATTTTTGAACGAGGGGAAACAACTATTTAAATAGGTGTAGGTACATCATGGAATCTTAAGTACTTCAACTATCATTTTTAATACATTAAGTAGGTACATATTTAATAAGCTTTTATGTCTCGTGTTAAGTACTTCAGTATATTACGAGGTATATTATATATATTTATATTTAAATATGGTGTACACATTTTAGGTAGTTGTTTCATCCTCGTTTTTGAAGCAAGAAGGAAACAGAGTGTGTGAAAAGACAGGGCATGCAAATATTCAGAAGATGTGATCAGTTATTTTGGTCACAATTTTTACCTAACTTACAGTGAAGAAAAAGTCTTATTTCGACCCCCAACAATGTGTCCTTGAAATATTAATATCTCATTTTGAATAACTCTGTATATGGATGTTTCAATAAAAAGCTAGAGCTCGAGCTAGAGTATTGTACACATCGAGGTACACATGTTGGAGTCGTGAGGAATGACCACAAAACAATTGATGGTTTTTTCTTATTTCCTCCATCTCTCGAAAAATACATAGTTATCTTATGTTTCCAATGAAAATAAGTAACTTCCGATATTCGTTCGGAGGTTCTAACAAATTACAAATCGAATTCTCGTGATAGTTCCTATAATGATGTCTATTTTTCCATTATTAGAATTGTTTACCAGATTGTTTCGGTATAACAGACAGCTCGGGGGGGAGGGGGGGGGTCCACACCTCATGGACCCACCCCTTAATTACGCCACTGCGACCTGTAACCTCTGGTACCTACTAAAATATAAAATTCTCATTGGAATACACCTCGTAAAACACAAGAAAAAGCTCAGGAAAAAGTGAGCAAAAAACTCGGCAAAAAAATGAACTTTCTCAATTGATTACCTACCAGA